TCATCAGAAAGCTGCCATTTTTCATCACGTGATACCAATGGAATGTAATTGAACTTTGCAATTATTGCTCAAAGGTCAACCGTGTCCTACCTCCTCTGTTTACAGACTGTTTACACAGTCAAGTACTGCAGCTGTTTCACAGTTTACTTAGATAAAACTAATTTTATACTTGACCAGAAAAATTTTGGGGGGGGCCTGGCCCCCCTACATCCGCCCCTGCATGAATGATGAAGCTCATGCTGTTCAGTACTGTTGATTTCACTTCAAATGGAACACCCGGGCCGTGGCCGGGTCAGCCATTTTTATCACGTGAGCTTACTTTCAGAATGACCGGATCCCGGACCCGGTCCGCCCGGGTGTTCCATTTGAATTGAAATCAACAGTAGTAGTCTGGAGACTCTGGACTCTGGACTAGTTCAGTAGTTGGTTGCTGTCATTGGTTGGTTGGAAGGTCCTGAATAACTTATTAATGGAGAAGACTCGGTGGAATTTTCTAAAAGACAAAATATACTTTCAGAAAAAAAAAACAATGTAATTTTACCTGCATCATGCCCACCATTTTATTACAAGCTAACCGCGGGTGGATGGGGCTGGTATTCTGCGTGGGTGTATAAGGTCATAGATTTAAATACACAAATTTATTAAATTAAATTTATTAAATCTATGATGGCCACAAGCCCTTCTTCCTCTGCTCCTTTTATAAACGTTTGTAATAAAGAACTAAGTGAGTTTGTGGGTATAGATCTATTTGACATTTAATGATATTTTGCAGAAATCAATGAACACTACTACGATGTTTATGATAAAATCAAACCACTTTCGCCTCGCTGGAAGCAGATTGCTTTTTCATGGCGTATCAGGATTGATACTATCAACAAGATAGAAGCAGATCATCGTGGAGATGCTGAGACGTGTCTGCAGAAAGTTCTAGAGTATTGGTTAAAGAAAGATTGTGATTACAAGAATTATGGCTGGCCCTGCTGGAGAATGGTGTGTGTAGCTGTTAAAGAAGGAGGAGGTGATCCAGCATTAGCTGATGAAATAGCTCGTGAACATCCTCTACCAGCTACTGCTGGAGGAGCTACTCCTCATCCTCTACCAGCTACTACTGGGGGAGCTACTCCTCATCCTCTACCAGCTACTACTGGAGGAGCTACTCCTCATCCTCTACCAGCTACTACTGGAGGAGCTACTCCTCATCCTCCACCAGCTACTACTGGAGGAGCTACTCCTCATCCTCTACCAGCTACTACTGGAGGAGCTACTCCTCATCCTCTACCCGCTACCGTGGGAGTCTCTATTAATGTTACTCATAGTGAAGGAATGTCACCTGGTTCAACAGGTATATTTACCAAATTAGGAATGATAGTGAGTATTTTTGTAGGAGGATACAACTCAAATTATAATGACATTTCACTCCCACTGTCTGAAAGTGGAAAATCAAATAGTTCAACATGTAAGTATATAGTATTTTGCAAAGAATAATTTTGCAAATCCTTAAAATAACTTCATTTGCAAATTAAATTTCTGCAGTTTTAACAGGAGTCATGCAAGCATTAATATTTGCAATTTAAATTTTATGTTTTTATGTATTGACAAATTGCAAAACTAAGTTCTCTACAATATTTTCATGCTACTGTAAATTGGGAAATCTTCAAGTTACAAATAATTGGTTTGAAATGTTTTTTCTAATTTTGTTGTTATTAATCATTTTTATGAGTCATAAGATTCCAGTATAGTAGTAGCAAGAGTAGAGTGTAGCCCTTAGAAATGAAGTATTTATGCAAGTACGTCATCTGGGCGTGACTAGGAGGTGGAGCCCAGTAATACTTTACATTCTTCTAGTATACTGCATACAGTCAAACCTCTCTAAGACGAACACCTATGGGCCAGCCATCACTGTCCTTTATATGAGGGTGTCCTTAAATCGGAGGTTATCCCATGCTGATTACACCAGAAAACCCACCATTTTCTTGATGCGTGTTAATTAGAAAGTCCGTTGCGTGGGCCGTGTTTGTCCGTTTGAGGTTAATTTGTACATGTGTAGATGTGTGGGGACAGTAAATCTCGTCTTGTTATACAGAATAGAGAGGTTCCACTATACAGAGGTTCTTTTATACACTACCCAATGGCCTTATGGCCGGGACAAGAGCAACTGCATGTTATAGAGAGGTGTCCGCTAATTAGGGGTTCATTTTAGAGAGGTTTGACTGTAGCTAGAAAATTTGCAGTGTGAGAATTTGATGAATTGGCCCTAAAAGAGGTTTGAAGGTTCAATTTTGACAAAATTTTAACCATATGCATGCTCCTATCAAATTGGAAACTAAAATTTTGAAATGCACCTCAATTTACCAAATGCACCAAAGTTTTTCCCACCAAATTTTCAAGTTACATGGTATGTTAATACATGGAAAATTAAACAATTCGTAGTATTTATAATTACTACGTAATACTGAAAAGTGTAAAATTACCAAAATAGCCCATCAACCATTTTCCAATTTTATTAATTCATATAAAAATGGTTAACATTCAAATTAGTCCTCACTTACGTTGCATGCCAGGAAATGATGATATACATATGTAGCTATAATATCCAGTGACAGACAAAAATTCATTTTAGGTGCTGATAGATATGGCTCTTCTGAAAAAAGTTTCCGCTTGACAAACGAGCTACATGATCTACAGGAAGAATTTGATGAGGCGATTCGTATTACAAAAAAATCCTTCAAATCAAGTGATTTACATGAAATCATTGACTACCTTCAAACACATGTCAAGTCATTACTTGGTCCTAAAAAGAGACAGCAAACAACAGCTGAAGCAGTTAGAGAAGAATTTGAACTCATAAAAACAATACCAAAACTATTCTTTGTACTACAAGACAAGTACGTGTCATGGTTCAACTATAAACTTATGATAAAACTTGTTGGAGTATTTCTAGCTGAAAATCGTTCGCTGAAGAGAACTTGGTCGGAGTATGAAGAGAAGTTAAAGGATTATTTTATAAACAGTCGTGGACTATTGAAAGATGCTGATGCTGTACAGTTTGGTATAACAGACGTTCCTCCTGGTACACGAGTAATGATTGCTAAAGTTGACAGAGATGACTACACACTGGATGACCTATTCTTCTTTCGTAGAGCAATACCAAAAGGTTTGGATATTCCTGAATATGACCTTTACTTCAGTTTTGTTCACATTGGCTCTCTCTGTTTGGGTTACCTCATTCCTGAGTATCTTTATTCTTTATTATTTCCTCTAACTAAAAAGCTACAGCAACAGTTAGCTAGTATTGGTATCACTGAACTAACATGTGGTGAATATCATAGGCGTATTTGGACCCGGGCAAGCACGGGCTTTGCCCGGGTAGAAATTTGCAGCCATAATTATATTCATTAGTTATTGTATTATACACAGTATTGTAACAGTGGGAGGACTGTTAACCACAATAGGTAGCACTGTTAACCACAATAATTTAGCACACACCTACATGTTCCAAGTGTTTATTTAAGCACCAGGGCAGTTATAGGTCTTAAATTTTAAATGCATTTGCCCAAATTGCCCACAATCGATAGTTAAAGGTATAAATAATTAATTGATTATATGAATAATAATTAATTATATGAATAATTAATTAAGTGCCCTAGTAGCTGGAGAAGGCTAGATACGCCTATGCCTATAACTCGTTGCAAAATAGCGTTGTAGAAGTAAAAACCTTGCTGCAGGTAGTCCAACACTTTCTATATGGAACGGTAGGTATATCATAAGTAAGCGTCCTCTTGGATCTCCATAAATATCCTTCGAAGTCCTTGCAGTACAGCCTCACTAATGGAGGAGATGGGAAATTAACCAGGTTTTGGGCCGGTAACCAATAGCAACATCGACCAGCCTACGCCCCCGTTTCCAATCCCTTTCATTTACTCTAATATCTATGTTTACACTACTCTGCTCCACTGAATCCGAATAGTTTTTGCTATTACTGTTTTCAGGTGTTTACACTAGTCCAGCAGCTGCGTTTTCATAACTTATCATTCGTTTATGGATGCTAGGGCTGAGGATATTATTCCCAAAAATGTCCCCATTATTCTATTCCTTTATTCCCAATATATTTGCCTATTATTCCTATTATTATTCCCAAGTATTATGAAAATAAACAAAATAACTATACAAAATTTGTCTCATTTAATGCTCATTATACTGTAACATTATAAGGATGCCTCAAATGCCCTCAATTGAGTCTTGTAAAGCACACTCATGGGTATCTTTGAAGGTGTTAAACAAGATTTATTAAGCATTCAGCCACACCTACTGCACAATTTTACAAATTTTGCCCTATTATTCCAGAATTATTCTTTATTCTTTAGATCACCTATTATTCTTTTTTTATTCTGGGAATAAAATCCTCAGGCCTAATGGATGCTCCACTGAATCCGAATAGTTTTTGCTATTACTGTTTTCAGGTGTTTACACTAGTCCAGCAGCTGCGTTTTCATAACTTATCATTCGTTTATAGAAGTATCCGCTGCTTAGGTATTCGTTTTCAAATGTCTCCAGATAAGTATCCGTTTTCATGTGTTTTAGTGTAAACATAGATATTATAGACTTCATAATATGTAGTCTATAATATCTATGGTGTAAACGAAACCCATACCCATTACCCGTGATTAAAAGTCTCCGTTTTCTAATGAAAACGGAGTAGTGTAAACGTGGCCTACTATGGTACTATAAGTAGGGCTAGGTAGCATAATTTGGAGCATAATAGGACAAAATTTTCTGGCCATATACCCCCGACCACATAGAATTGCAGTTCAATATGGCAGATGGTTTTACAAGTACTAGTACAATAACTTAGGCTATTATATTTTCCAGTGACTCAAAGTCTTTGGAAACATTTCCAGATTCTGGCATTATTCATCACAATTATAATCTATTATTTGTTAATAATTTATTATTAGCTTTTGCTATGATCATTAAAGAAAAGCAGATACATACATGTAACTTGATAGTCGATACTTGAATAAAGCATAAAGTATGAGCATAAAATGAGCATAATTGGATTTATTTCAAAGCATAATAGGATGAAATTTGGAGCAGTGTCTAAAAGCATAATAGGCAGAAATGGAAGTATAATTTGCCTAGCCCTAACTATAAGTGGTCTCAGGCTAGGCCCTTGACCATGAAGTTATGTACCCATAACCACCTCCAGACAGGAAGGAATCATTAATACTGTATAGCGGGAGATTTTCGAGGAAATAAAATTTGGCAAATTTGGCATTTTGATAGCCATTCGCCAAAATAAAAACCCACCATTTTGAGTCATTATATGCGTGCTCAATGGCATGTGGCCACAAATTTGCCAAATTAAAATTCGCAGGTCACCAAAATTTAGCAATTTGCCAAAAATTAGTCCCTCCAAATTTCCCGTTATACGGTATTATGTAATGTGGCAGATTGAAAATAAATAAATAATAATTAATTACACATCATTATTTCTCCATAAAATTTACCTTTTGTGCTTTCTCCCCCAATAGATGCTGATAGAGGATGTTCACGGGCTATGTCTTCAGCTAATGCTGGATCACCTCCTCCTCCTTTAACAGCTACACATACTCTCCTCCAACATGGAGAGCCAAAGAACTCATAATTGTAATCCTTCTTTAACCAGTGCTCCAAAACCTTGCGCAGACATGACTCACAACTACTACCGCAATTAGCTTCAATGATATCAATAGTAGCTGGTCTTATGTACAGCGAGTTAGCAAAATCCTTCCAACGTGCAGCAATGCGGAGTTTGACTTTATCATACACGAAATTAAGATCCTCAATACCTAAAAAAAATACAGATCATAGAACTGTCGCAAACATAACCTCGTTAACTCACAAAGCACTTTACTACAAACATCTTCAAAGATCTGCGCCATAGTTTTATGCGTCTTCACTCTTTTTTTGCAAAAGCATAGATATTATAGACTACGTAACCGGGATTGGAAACAGGTCACGTGATCCATTCAAATCGATGTACCGTAGGTCGGGATATATTCGAGGCTGCAATTATTCGCGGTCATAAAAAATTTCAATTAAAAACCATGGAAACCGAGGTGTTATTTAATTGAAAACGGCGCGATAGTGAAGAAAAGCACCTTGCTGCAGTGTTCTTGAGCTGTTGTTCTTCTTGTGTCACTAAGCCTTGGGCTCTTTGGAGCTGCTTTACCGGTTCTTTTCAGAACTAGTGCCTCGCCGTATTTTGGGACTCTCCACCCATTCCAGTTAGTGTTTATTGACTTGGGCGTGGTTTATTATCACCAGCACGCGGACCAGCAACAATTTGCAGCAAAGAGGCTGAAAGAGCTCTGAGGTAGCGGTCCATACAAGAAGTTAACAAATAGAGAAGGACTCGCTATTGGTGAATGGCTCCAGTAAAGCTGCTAAAGAACAGATGAATAGCTGAACACTAAACACGTGGTCTTAATTGTCATAGCAACGCTCTAACAGTTTTCATGGTTTTTAATTGAATTTTTATGACCGCGAATAATTGCAGCCGCGAATATATATCCCGACCTACGGTAACTATTCAGGTACAGTCTCTGTGACAGTGAGAGGCCATAGATATTAGAGACTAATACAAATAATATTCTATGGAGAGGCGGACGAAAATGCCTGACATGGCTGGAAAGAATGGTCTCTAGTAAAGTCCCGCAAGCTATTTCACCTGTACTTGGGCTCTTATAATATACGCACATGTTTATATTTTTCTTTGATACAAAAATAAAATGTGTTAGCTGTGTAATAACAGGTGTTTAAAGCAAGTGCGCTCCCCGTGACAAGAGAAAATGTCTTATTCTCCCTCCTGCAAACAAGCTTTAGCTACCCCAGTTTCATTTTATGATTAAAACTATGCACAAGGCCATGCTACATGAGAATAGACTGGTTAGTTCTGCCTGCCATATTACTGAGAGCAGAAATCCACCAAAATAACGCCAAAAAGCGGCCGATCTGTTGTACCTCTCCCGAGCGAACTAAGCATAGAGACACGAAGAGAAAGGTACCATCGTGATCTCTGGTGTTTTCTTTATGCGATTAAGCTACTTAGAACCAGCTACATCACAATATATTATTAATACGGCTCATCAAACATAACAATTCTTCATGATTTTCACCATTTTGATGTAAATTCAAAATGGTGAAAATAAAGTAAATTCTGTACACGTGACGTCATCAGTTTCCAATCCCGGTTACGTAGTCTATAATATCTATGGCAAAAGAGACACGCCTAGCTACGTGCTACGCCGACCCATTTGGGTGGGGCTAAATTAATAAAAGTGTGGAGTCATAGATAATATACTAGTATATTATCTATGGTGGAGTGTTATGAATGAATAAACCACACAAGTTTCCAGTAGCTTATCTCAGTAGATCTCTGAGTGTATCTGCAGCTCACAGGCTATGCAGGTAATACAATACAATATGTAATAAATCAATAGTACAATCTTATATACTTTTATTAGTCCTCATCTGACAGAAGAAGAGAATATATCATTGTATGGTAAATGTTACAATCCTAATGGACATGGTCACAATTACACTGGTTAGTGTATCTAGATAGCATACATATGTATATAGATAAGTACATTTAAAAAGCTCATGCAGTAAGTTTAAATTTGTATTATT